ATTTAAATTTTAACTAAGATGTACTTAAGTACCGAATTATTGACTACACATGTCTGCAGCATGATTAGACGCTCATTTAGTTGGTTTATTAGGAAAAAAATGTTTATTTTAAGTGACTTGCTCTTTAACAAACACTTATTCTTTTGTATTTTGGCCTTGATGTGTAGAATTGGAACAGCAATTTGTGGGGTGCCAAGTGTAAATTTTTTGTGCAAACAATTCGGCAGACAGCTATTAAATCTAAATATTAAATCTAAATATTAAATCTAAATCTAAGTTCCACAGCCACAAATGTTGCAGGTAGTTCAAGGGCAGTCAATTTGCATGTAACTCACAGCTCAGATTTAGATGAAACATTTAGATTTAATATTTAGATTTAACTTTTAGAATTAGATTGAATATTTAGATTTAACATTTAAATTCAGAACAATTATTTAAATTTAGATTCAGATTTAATATTTAGATTTAGATGTAACTTTAGATTTAATGATTAGGTTTAAAATGAAGATTCAAACTTTAGATTCAGATTTAATATTTAGATTTAGATATAACATTTAGATTACATATTTAGATTTAGAATTAAATTTTAGATTGATATCTAGATTTTAAGCTGCAATAGGAAATCTCCTAGATGAGCTAAGGCTTAAACATATTTTTTCATGCCTCCTAACATTGTCCTAATACAGTAAAGCTATAAATACGTTGTGAAGACTACAAAAATTAAATGAATAAATGAAAAAAATAAGGAAGTGGCTTTTATGTATTTCTCTATAAGCCTCAGCCAATAACACAGCATTCCAAAACCAACATCAGGTTTACTCTATCACCGACTCACCACATTTATCTGGGTCCTCCACTCATTATGCGCTCGACTTTAGGACAAGCAAACTATCAGAGTCCCGTTTGGACTTAGAAACCTGCAGCTGGTGTTTATCTCTACAGTGGCCATGCGGGTTCCAGCATCAGGGGGATTTGGTCTAGAGATGATAGCTGACGGATCAGATGATAGCTGTTACCGTGCTTGTGTTTAAAAGCTAGCTTGTTTCACGTATTTGCCATTGCAGTTTTAAATTAGCTTAAATTATGTGAATTGTAAACATTTTAGTGTATGATGATTTTAGGCAATATTAGTTTTGAATGTGATTAAAGTGTGCAAAATGTAGGAAAAGTAATCTAATATAAAAAAAACATTTGCTAAATCTTTTGCACGAACAATTTACACTTGGCGTCTCATAGCAACAAGGTCCATCGTACTGAAGCTGTAATTTAGCTGTAATTGTGCTTTCATTAGCTGCAGCAGCCTTCTTGAGCTACGCTGTCATGGATGAATGAGATGAGAGGAGTGTGTCTGCAGTGACAATGTCTGTGTGGCAGCATAATACTGTCGAGACATGATTATCTCAGGTTTTCTGAGACTCTTGCCTCAGCACATGTGACAGGACATTGCCAGTGAATGACCGTTATATGACAGCACTGTCATGGAGGATGAGGCTGCTGACATGACAGTCTTGGTCTGAAAGGTTTACAAAAACATACCTGTGTTGGTGGAAATGGCTGATAAATGTACATGTGAACAGTGTAGGTAGGTTTCTGACTGTAGATTTTAACATTTGATTCACTGATTCTTAAAATAATCAAGAAATGCATGTTAAATATTTTAGATTAAAAATGTTGGTTATGTATTGTAACCCCAGATTCTAGTCGCAGCCCTTAATATATATATTAATATCTATGCAAAATGGGTGGTTTCCATCACCGCCACATTAGCCGTGTCACATGTCCCGTCATGCCTAGACAATCCCAAAAATGGAAAAGAGATGAAGCTGAGGCTGGGACTGTTACGGTGGGAGCAAATGAAACAATGTAGCTACTAGCTAACTTAGCTAACCCAAGAAGCTAAGATTGAGCTCCGGGGCAGCCAACCCACGTGGCCGCATGGCTTCCTTACGAGGCTGTAGTCATGCTGGGGCTTATGGAGCTCTAATATGGACTTTTAAATTTGAAACAGAGCCTCAGACCACTGCAATCAAAGCCAGGTGCTCTGGTGTTAGCTAACCCAAAGCTAACAGAGGTTTTCCAAGCGTTTTTAGTGAGAAAAATGTGGTTGAACAACTCCGAAGTGAAGGCACCTCTGGCCTCCTGGAACTAGGTAAGCTGACCGAGGATAGTAGAGGCTACCAGACTTTGCTGGTCCATCGCGGTCAAAAATCTCCCGCCATTGTCGTCGCACCAGGCTCCAGGATTGCACTATACAGTTTCATCATACTGTAATGTATCGCACCATTTTAAACTTTTTTTAATTGTATTTTCTCATATATCTCATTGTGTTGGGGATATGAGAAAATGATGATACACTGATCACAATATTGACTGAACTCCTCCCATGCCAGGGTTTTTGCCTCTGTGACCACCCTCTCTTCACTCGAGTGTCCAAGACATGTAGCAGATCAGATGAGGCAACAACAAAGTCGATCATCGAGCTGCGGCTTAAGATATCCTGGTGCCAAGAGCACACATGGACACCTTTATGTTTAAACATGGTGTTCATTATGTACAATCCATGACGAGCACAGAAGTCCAATACCAAAATACCGCTCAAATTCAGATCGGGGGGGCCGTTCCTCTCCACCACATCTCTCCAGGTCTCACTGCTGTTGCCCATGGGAGCATTCAAGTCCCCCAGCAAAATGAGAGTCACCAGATGGAGCGCTCTCCAGCACCTCCTCCAAGGACTCCGAAAAGGGTGGATAGAACTGAACTGTAGTTTGGTGCATGAGCGCAGACAACAGTCAGGATTCGTCCCTCCACACGTAGGTTAGGACAATGTTAGGAGGCTACTCTCTCATTTACCGGGGTAAACCCCAACGTACAGGCACCACGTTGGAGGGCAACTAGTATGCCCACCCCTGCTCGGTGCCCCTCAGTCAGGGCAACTCTAGAGTGACAAGCTCCTCTCAAGGAAACTGGTTCCAGAGCCATGCCTCTAGAGCCCCCTTCAGACAGGCCATGAAAAACGGAAATGTTCCGGACTCTGTCCGTAAGACCTTTCTGTCTGAATACAAACATCCGGATAACGTGTTCCGGAATTTATCCGGACGAAGCCCCTAGTAACAGGTCCGGACTTGTTACGGACATGGTGGCTGCTTCAGACTGGTGAGGTAGAGTTCCGGACAAGGGGGAGGAGGAGCGGACCGGGGGACGCTGTGCGCACCTAGATAACCCGCTGCTGTAGCATGCGGCGAACCACGGCAGCTCGCCTCCTACGGTACCGCCTAGACGCGCAACGGAGCGCTTCACACCGCTTCACACCGCTTCAGTGATTCCTTTAACCATTGAGCTTCATCATCCAGGTCTCTTATGCATCTTCGTGTGCGCAGAATTATGCTTAAGCGCCTCGTGATTTTTATCTTGCGAGGCGCTATAGAAATGATATTTTCTTCTTCTTCTTCTTAACATAAGTCCGATTCTCTCCCCCCCACCCCCCACCCCCGCCGCCGTCAGACATCTGGAACTTTTCCCTGCTGTGTGAACGCAGCCGAAAGGACAAGTTCCGTTACAAAAGTGGTGTGTCTGAAAGCACAGTTCCGGTTAAAAACCGGATTGAATTGTCCACAAATGTTCCAGAATGTCTGTCTGAAAAGGGCTTAGGTGAGTCCAACTATGTCTAGTGGGAACCTCTCAACCTCACACACCAACTCAGACTCCTTTCCCAGCAGAGAGGTGACATTCCACGTATCGAGAGCCAGCTTTTATCGAGATTTTACATGGCATGATCTCAAGGACCAGGATTGGGCACCCCTGATGTTAGGTTGTTGGTCAGCAGAGGGCTGCAGAGTGGTGTCAAATATGAAACTGGTCAAGTTTCTAACCCAACAATCACTGAGATCAGTGTTAAAGCTCTAGCTTAAAGTTTAAAAAACTCTGTTGTTACTCTAAAGGCATTAATATTATTTGTACACATTAATGAAGTTTGTCAATTATATTAATCCAGGTAAAAGAAAATAAAAGCAAGAGCTTAACGTGTGAGGTTACTTGCTTTAATGCAGAAGTAACAAAAACAACATTCAGAGGCTAATTTGTTTGATCAGCCCAAATAGCTTTCAAACTGATTATGTAAGGGTCTGACGTTCTGATAATTCCTACAGCTCAGCCTCCTGTCAGCATTACATAGTCACTCTTTCCTGTGGTGTTCAAGTAGCACAGAGACAGCAGATAAAAGCAATGTGTCCCACTCACCATTACGCTCTACATTCGGAAGCTGTGAGTTTCAAGAGTTCACACTGCACAAACAGCTTACTCTCACACAGATTGTAGTCATAGGCGTAACGCTGTGGCACCCATCCCCACATGACTCAGCCATGTAAAGAGCTTAACAAGGTAGGAGAGGATTAGCAGCAGCCTTCATGTGTGAGCTCTTTCTCTTTGAAGCAGATGTGAGCGCGTCTGTTCTTTCTCCTCCTCTCTTGTTTCTCTGTAAGTGCATGTTGGTGCATTTATTCAGCTCACGAGCATGAAACCAAACGTCACGACTATTAATGTTTCCCGATCGGCCTCCTGAAAACGAAGCTAATTTGTTGCGAGGGAAATGGAGCAGGGATTAGCTCACTCAGTCCACAGCTGGCTTTATCTTAGCTTTATGAGGTATTCCACCATTTATGTTCATGCATCTTCTAGCATGCATTTGCAATGATTAGTGGTTGTGTTGCGTGTTGCCTGCACCTTTTTTTTTTTTGACAAATGCTTGGATTCATTTACAACAAGTGATGATTGATTTCACACTTGTTGCAAATGCTTGATACTTAAAAACAGAAGTTCCTGCCTGGAAATGCTTGCAGTTAATGTTGATTGAGCAAGATTTTAAATTGATCTAAACTGGTTTTCAGACAGGAATGATTTTACTAAAATGTATAAACTTGTGAGTATTGGACCTGTATCCATTAAACCCCTATGACTGAGGTTCTCTTGTATGTTAAATGTAAATGTCTTTGCTCTTCTTTTAGACTATTGTTCGAGGGAACCGGCCACCTAAAGATGCATCCATTAATGGCCTGCTAGAGGACTTTGACAATATTTCAGTTACACGCTCCAACTCCCTTCGTAAAGAGAGCCCACCAGGATCCCAGCAGGCTGGAACCACTTCCAAACCCTTGGGTAGTGGTCTTCTCACTGCCCCCGAGGAGAATGGATTCAACCACTACTACTCCCGCTACTCGTGTGATCTGAACTCGTCCAGCAGGGACTTTTCTCTAGATCCTGGAAAACCAAGTGTCTCCACAGATGGGGACTGGGCTGTTGGGCGGCATTACCGATTCACCAAGCAGAATGGCCACTCTTACCCCATACGCAGCCCATTCTACCCAGATGCTATGCCTCAAAAATCAGACTATGGGAAGCTTCCCCCAGACTACCACACTTACTTGGAGAGCAAAGGGCGCTCCGCTGATGAGGTGGCTTCTACAGTAGGGAGTGGTGTTGGCTCCAGTGGCTACTACCGTGCATCGGTGGGAGGCTCATCCAGCCAGGACTACCGGGACACTTCAGTCGGCACGCCTTCTCGTGCTTCCCTTCACAGCGAACAGATTAACTACCCGGACAGCGAGTGGAGCTACAGCGGCCTCCGGGACGAATATGACAAGAGACCCAAGAGCTCCTACGTGACCCAGACCAGCCCCACACCTGCTATCAGGCAGAGATCTCGGTCTGGATCTGGGCTGCAGGAGCAAAATCTTCCCTATGCTGCCAGTGGGGCTTTCAAGAACCCTCCACAGGCTCACCCGTACAGTTCCTACACCTACCCCCGCCTCTCAGAAAGTCTTGCTAACTCCCAGACCATTGCCAAGGTAAGGCATAAGAAACAAAAGGTGTCTATTTTAGTAAAAAGCTTATTTATGTATGAAAATGTTTATGTGTACCTTCAAAACACAAGGTGGAAAATTCTACCAGGGATTGTTTCTAAATCCAACATGGCTGCCTTAAGAAAAATGGGCTAGCTTCAGCTAGAAGCTATTTTGGTTGGTGTGTATGTTTTAAAATCACACACACACACACACACACACACACACACACACACACACACACACACACACACACACACACACACACACACACACACACACACACACACACACACACACACACAGTACTGTAAAAGGTCTACTAGTACCCTTCGGTTCTTTATAAATTCTACTCTTTTCACTTTGATCCTTCATTATGTGTGTTTCTCTGGTCATCATGCCTGATAAATGGCATCAGTGTTAATCTCCTTTCCCCTGAAGGAGGCAGGAACTGGCACATAAAGGACGACTCGTCTGCAGTGGCTACTGTCTCCACAAACAGATCAATAAAGCTGACTGATTGGGAAGAAATGTAGGACTTAAAGAACATGGAAAGAGTTGGGAGAAAATGAAACAGAAGAACAAAGAAACAACAATAAAATCAAAGAACAGATGAGTAGACCGGATACCAGGATTAAACATTATTATTGTTCTCATTGTCACAGATGCCGTGTGTAAGGGTATCAAACTACATATAAACATTTTAAATGTTTTCTAGTTTGATTTTATACACAAAAAACTCACATTTATGCTGAAAATGTATAGTATGTATGTTACATGGTGTCAATAAAATATATAGAATATTTATGGAGCTAAGACATAAATGAAGAATAAATAATTAAACATTTGTACATTCAAGTTCAAAAATCAAACACTTAAAGTGACAGTGTCTATTTTTCCTGGCGATAGGGGGCAGTAGATACCTAAATCGTTGCAAGCAAGCAGTATTTTTGTGTTGGAGTAATACCTTACCAGCGGATGCCCATAAGGGTCAAAAAGCCCTGGGGAGTACAAACGTTTGCAAAATAACAAGCACATCAGATTCCCTTTCATCACTGGCAACAAGTGAAGAGATAAATGTGTAAAACAACAACATTTAAGAATGACAGCATTTTTGAAGCCGTTTGTTACAAATCAGTAAATGCATTTTGTCCTCATGGGCTCCCGTCAGTGTTGCCAACTTAGCGTCTTTGTCGCCATTTCTAACGACTTTTCAGACCCCCTTAACGACTTTAAAAAAAAAAGCGCCTAGTGACAAATCTGGTGACATTTCTGACCCCCCTCAGCTACTTTGACTTCAAATTTGTAGCCGACTTTACCTGCATTTTAGAGATGCATCTGAAGCGACAGGACCGTCCTTCCTTCCAGAGGATCAGAAAGAAAATGATCTGCGCATGTGTGTGCAGCATGATCACGCTTTTGTGGGTTTTCACAAGTCCATTATTTGAGATAGCCACCGGAGCTACATAAAGGGCGACCGCTCCATCTGCCATCCTGCCGCATTTCGGCAGCTGAGCTCGGCTGGCACTGGCAGGCAGCGTCAAACTCACACGTGGCTTCTCGCACCACTTGTGGTGCATTCAAGGAACATTGGAACTCTATGATGAGTTCAATAACGTAGTACATTTAAAACTTTTATACAAAACAGAATAATACTGTGAGGCAAATACCTCAGGTCATTGGCAGTTTGCATGTAACGTTTCTGAATACTAAATACGGCCTGCTTCTTTTTACACAAAAGTACTAAACACAACAAAACCAAACAAAAATCAAATACATATATATATTATCTGTTAGGTCAATATATAGCACTGAATCACAACAGAAGAATGCATCTCAAGGCACTTGAAAACTACAAGAGAAATTTCATTTTAATTCAACCATACATACATTCCTATCAATTTAATATTTTTGTGTTTACGAGTTCCATTCTCTTCAGACAAAATAGAAATAGTCCTTCCATTTTTTGTGCCATCTTTCCTTGATGTTTTAAAGGCTGCTGTTTTGTATTCTATGGGGTTTTATGTAAATAAAATATTTAAAAATAAATTAAATAATTTTTAAATAAAATCACGCAGGTTTTATTTGATTTACTCTACAAGACCGGTAACATCATGACGCAAACATGGTGATGTCATCACGCAGACCAGATGATGTCATTGTATCATATGCAAATTAGCACGTGACGTCATCTGGCGACATCTGTCAACTTTTGGGGGGAACTTAGCTACTTTCAGTCAAAAACAGTTGGCAACATTGGCTCCTGTAGAAGGAATCATGGCATCTAATATGGCGTCGCCCAGAGACTTAGAACCCCTCCCATGTGTTTTAAACCTGATTTTTGTGGTTATATGTTACAAAGCCGTCAATATTCTTCAACAACTGGGCATCACTTAAATTCATTTTTAACAACATTTTGATGGATATTTCCAGAAATGAATGATTAAAACTACATATTGTCTCTTTAAGTGCACCAAATTAATTCAGCTAATCGCTAAAGCTAACACATCAGACAAAAATGAATCAAAAGCAGTCAACCCCTAGAAACAATTTCAGTAAATCTGTTTTTTTTTTTCTTCTAATTTTGTGGTTGATTTGACATCGGGGTCAGGTTTCATAGAACTGTTGTTTACATTGTTTTATAAAACAGCTGCACAGAGATTCCTCTCTCCCCACAGCCTCAGCTGAAAACATCATTAAAGCATCCATGCATTAGATGCTGTGTAATGTGGCCATATGTTCTGACCCAGAGAAACTTATTGTGCCTTTGCTTCAAGATCATTTTTATTATCACGAAGAACTTCGATCGCTGCAGTACAATAAAGCAAAGCAGTAAACGTAGCAGGGGGTAAAATAACTCCAGCAGCAGGTGTAAGGTGTTTAAATCATTTCCTTCTTTTAAAACTAGGTTCATTATTCAGTGAATATTGTTTTCACACCTCACCAACACCCCTTCTTCTCTCACAGTGAGTTCAATCGCTAAAGAAAAGAGAAGAAAAAATAGGTTTGCTGATGCAGATCCCAAGGTGCGGCAAAAAAAAGAAGCATTTAACCCGTGTGCCTCAGCAAACAGTCGCTCAGGAGAAATAGCCACAGAAAGCACACGAGTAGCAGGAAAGTGATGCAGGAGGTCGTTTTTCTTTCATTCTGTATTATGTGCTGCATTGCATCTTTCAATGTTCGCTGTGCTTGAAAACACGCATTTGTTTCTGCGAGGGATGGAATGTTGTCTGAGTAGCATTAGCATTAGCATTTTTACCAGATTTTCCTCTCAGCCTAAATGTTTGGAGGCTTTCTCTTTTCAACTAGAGTTGCTGTTGCCAGGTCTGAAAACAAGCCCCGTTACAAGTAATCCCGTTCTTAAAAGTCCACGGTTTTGTAATCTCGCATGCAGTCGATCTAAAACCACGTCGTTCACAACATTTTGTAAAAACGAGCAAAATGAAACGGTGGTATTTGGTCAATTTATGTGTTCAATGAATATTTTTGAGCCATTTTTAAGTGCGTGTTAAAAATATTTATTTTATACATTGGTTATACCTATGCTCACACTAGCCATTAGCTTATCAGTCTTGAAGGACATAAACTATACTTCTCTGAACAGAGGCTCTTCAGGAAGACTTCTACAACGTGTTAGAAGCACACCCCAAAATTTGCCCAGGAACCATTTTATTAATGCAAATAAGGTCAAAAGCTATTTTATACAATTTTATTTGGGTATTAATGAACAAATAAAAAACTATTCAGATTTAATATGGAGGTTTTGTTGTTTGTGTTTACAATGTGTATCAATCAGCACAAGTTCTTTGTTTATTTTTGCGGCATTTGTGAAGAAAACGAGGTTTGGCTGCTTAATAATCTACCCCCCCCCCCCCCCCCCCTGTTCTTTCTGAGGCTCAGCCCACTCACACCTCTGAAGTAAATCCGCCTCTCTTTCCTTCTATTGTGCCGATCTGTTTGGGAAGTAACCGGAGACAGCTCTACGTCTCTCAGCCTCTTTCTCTCCTGCCTTCTGTGCTTTGCAGTGAGCGCGAGCTCCATGCCGCAGCTCTCAGTGACAAATTGATGTTGCGGCACTTTCCCTTTCTGCAGCCTTAGCATAAAAACTGGCCGAACGATGTTCCACCACAGAATTCAATTTCACAGTTGAGTTAGGTTGTTGATTACCCTGCCAAACTCAGATTAATGTACGTTTAACCAACATGGATCAGGAGACCCTTGGCTGGCAGCCAGCGAGAAGTGTGTGTGTGTGTGCGTGTGTGTGTGTGCGTGTGTGTGTGTGTAAAGGGTGACAGAAGAACGAGACTCCCTCCCATCTAATACACCTGCCACAGATTGATTGATTAAAAGAGTCCACGCCATGTAATTATACACCATTCTGACACATCAGGGCTCCTCCTCCGGCCCTGACTGTATGTGTGTGTGTGTGTGTGTGTGTGTGTGTGTGTGTGTGTGTGTGTGTGTGTGTGTGTGTGCGTGTGCATGTATGAGTTTGGTTGCATGAATGTGTGTGTGTGTGTGTGTGGGGGGGGGGGGGGGGGTCTGTGCATACATGTTTGCATGTGTGTATGGGCATTCATATGCATGCATGTGTGTGTGTGGTTGCATGTAAGTGCGTGTGTGTGCATACGTGTTTGTGCACTTTTGTGTGCGTGCATGCATGTATTTGTGTGTGCATGTATGTGTGTGTGTGTGTGCTTACGTGCATGCGTGTGCATACGTGTGTGTGCATGCATGTATGTGCACGTGTGTGCACATGGGTGCCATCATGTATGTGTGCCTGCATGTGTGTGCGCGTGCATGTGTGTGTGTGTGTATACACAAATTCATCATCGGTAAACCCTGACATATCCTAAAGGGGTCAGGTGTTTCTTAAACAGGAAGAGTGTCGCAGATCGCAGGGCCCCCTCGGCTCTCCTGATGAATGAATGGAGTCACTGAGGAGCTTTGTGAGCTGCTGAGGATAAAACATGGCTTCTGACCCAACGACTAAATGTTCTCGTTGAGTCTGTTTAGGGATGACATTTTTCATAAAGTCACAGCAGGAGAATTCAGGAATGTACTGTGTGTGACTCGGGGCTGCTTTATGCTAATGTGTCTCCGTGCTACACCGGCTCACACCTTCTCCGCTCGCCTCACCTCCTCCTCGCGCGATAAGTGATGAGTCAGGAGCTAAAGCCGCTAAATCAGAAATTCCTGGGATTGTCTTTCAGCATCATGTTTGATTTAAAGCAGGAGTGTGCAACTTTTTCAATCATTTCTGGTTTTTCTTGCACAAAGAAAGCAGCTGCGTTCTCTAATATCCTCCAGCTCATCCTCAGATTATCACGTTGAAGTTTCCACGTCTGACTACTTTTTTTTCTCTTTCAGGGCGACTACGAGCGTCCTTCCCGTGAGGAAATCCCGCAGGTATCAGGTGGTGACATCTACCTACGAGGGCCTCTCAAGCTACCTCAGAGCCACACGAAGCCGCCTGGCTACCCCCCAGTGCACCTGCCGTACCCCCCCATCTTTCACCATTACAAACCCTCACCCTACCACCACCCCCCCTCTCAACCCAGCCCTCCTTACACTCCTCAGGTACAGGTTTTCTCTGTTAAATGCTCCAGGTGATCAGTTATGTGCTAAACTGTTTTATGTTGCTACGTCATGATCACAAAATAAAGTTGTTCTTCATGTTTGCTTCATCCATCCAGGGGGCCTGCTCGCAGCCCTCATCACCTTATATACCCCCCGGGGCTTACCCCCCTCCTTCGTGGGGGTCGAGCTCTGACACTCAACCCTCTAGAGTCTCCCATGAGCAGTTCAGAGCTGCACTTCAGCTGGTGGTCAACCCAGGTAGGAAGCTTAGATTAGAAATATATATGTTTCAAAAAACGGTGCTATGATGCTCTGGAAAACTTTAAACATCTGTTTACCATCAGGAGACCCTCGGGAATACCTGGATAACTTCATCAAGATCGGCGAGGGCTCCACGGGGATCGTGTGCATCGCCAGCGAGAAGCACAGCGGGAAGCAGGTGGCGGTGAAGAAGATGGATCTGAGAAAACAGCAGAGGAGAGAGCTGCTCTTCAACGAGGTGAGGTTCTGATCCCAGATCTGCATCTGTTTTGTCTGAGAGACCGAGTGGATCTGGGATGTAAATTAGCTCAGCTCCGCCAGGGCTGCCCTTTGTCACCGGTTCTGTTCATTACCTTTATGGACAGAATTTCTAGGCGCAGGTGTGGAGTGTGTCGAGTTTGGTGGCAGGAGAATCTGGTCTCTGCTTTTTGCGGATGATGTGGTCCTCCTAGCTTCATCCAGCTCTGACCTTCAGCTCTTGCTGGGTAGGTTCGCGGCCGAGTGTGAAGCGGCTGGGATGAGGATCAGCACCTCCAAATCTGAGACCATGGTTCTCGACCGGAAAAGGGTGGCTTGCCAACTCCGGGTCGGGGGAGAGAGATCCTACCTCAAGTGGAGGAGTTTAAGTATCTCGGGGTCTTGTTCACGAGTGAGGGTAGGAGGGATCGGGAGATTGACAGGTGGATTGGTTCGGCGTCTGCAGTGATGCGGACGCTGAGCCGATCTGTTGTGGTGAAGAGGAAGCTGAGCCAGAAAGCCAGGCTCTCGATTTACCGGTCGATCTACGTCCCAATCCTCACCTATGGTCATGAGCTTTGGGTAATGACCGAAAGAACGAGATCGCGGAGAGAAGCGGCCGAAATGAGTTTCCTCCGTAGGGTGGCCGGGCTCAGCCTTAGAGATAGGGTGAGGAGCTCGGACATTCGGGAGGGACTCTGAGTAGAACCGCTGCTCCTCCGGATGGAAAGGAGCCAGTTGAGGTGGTTTGGGCATCTGGTCAGGATGCCTCCTGGACGCCTCTCTGGGGAGGTGTTTCGGGCATGTCCTGCCGGCAGGAGGCCCCCGGGTCGACCCAGGACACGTTGGAGAGGTTACATCTCCAATCTGGTCCGGGAACGCCTTGGGGTCCTGCCGGAGGAGCTGGTGGAGGTGGCCGGGGAGAGGACGGTCTGGAGCTTCCTAGTTGGGATGCTGCCCCCGCGACCCGGATAAGCGGAGGAAGACGACGACGACGAGTCCCACACGGCTAACTTTTGTTACAGATTACTGACAGAACAAAAAAGCTGCAGCAGAGCCATCTGGTTCAATTAGCATCAGTGATTACACCTGGAATACATAAAAATACGTCTTTCTGGGAAATAAATGTGAAAAAAAACCAACACAAGTTCATTTTCCTTCTGTTTCTCTGACATGTTGTCATGGTAATTAAACAGCTGACCTATTTCTGCATCTGTGATTGCGTTTAGTTTCTAAATCCACACTGAAGACGTTTATTCTGAGCCATGTTTTCACCAGAAGGGCCATATTGGCTTTTGATCTCATTAAAAGTCCATTTATAGACGTCGATAGCGTCTGATTCAAAACTATAAATGAGCACATGATATAAAGCCGTGGGTGTTGACTGGGAACCAATCAGCTCCATGTAATCCAATTACAATCTGAATAATCCTTACGTTTAAGCCTCCATAACGTCCTCACATCTGTAATAAATATCTAAATGCATTAAATTGAATTATTATTATAAAATACTGAACTAAGACAGTAGATGGTTTACTTGTACTTCTGCATAAACTTAGATTTTGTTGTTGATTGCTGTTTTTTGTTTTAGGTTAATACCTTTAAACCCTTTTGGAGAGAAGCCCTGTAGGATTTTTGCTTAATTTTAAGTTGTTTTCCCTCTTTTTCTGCCAACTTCCTGGAATAATCCAGGTTGAAAAGGGCACAGTAATATGTAATCCAGTGTAAAATCCAGTTTGACATATTCTGGTGGTAATATTCTTCAATCTTCTGTGTTGTAGGTGGTGATCATGAGGGATTACCACCATGAAAACGTGGTGGACATGTACAACAGCTACTTGGTGGGAGACGAGCTGTGGGTGGTGATGGAGTTCCTTGAGGGTGGAGCCCTCACTGACATTGTGACTCACACAAGGTAAGCAGCAGGGCTAAAGGATTTTAGGAAAAAATTGAAATGCGATTTTTTAGGAGAAGCTGAGATTTCAGTTTGATTTACGGTTTTCTTCAAATCACGTTTCAACACAAACACATTATTTTCAATATATAAATCATAGCATAAAAACATTTAAAGCTAGGGATGTAAGAAAACATCCATACGGCAATATCGTGATATTTTTTTCTTGCGATATTACTTCTATATTCAAAAGCTGTGTATCAAACTTTTGAAAGAATTTACATGCAAACATTTGTGTGTTTTCTTTTCTTTTAGTGCAATTCTAACACCCACCACTAGTTGGCAGCAGTGTGCAATGGGTTTTGTTTCCACCACTGAAGTGTTAATCCCTCTATTATGGTTCAGACATCTCATGTTAAACACATTACATATCAGATTGGACAGTTTTTTAAATTTTCTTACAATATACTCAGTCTAAAAAAATCGCTAATACTGTCTGGCTGAATGTATCTCAATATATCGTGAAAAATCATATGATCTCCCTCGTATCGTGACACATATCGTATCGCCAGAATTTCACCAATGCACATCCCCATTTAAAGCAATTAATTTTCACCTATTATTATTATCTTTTTTAACCTTTTTTTATATTTTAATGTGCTCATGAAGCAACTTGTGCAACTTGTGATTTCTATCTGCCCTGGGACTGAGAGATCAGGGCTCAAATCTCAGTCGGGTTATAGCAAAGACTTTAAAAATGGGACCCAATGCCTCTCTCCTTGACACTCAGCCTTAAGGAGTTAGACTGGGGGGTTAAACCACCAAATAGTTCCCGAGCGCCGCCAGAGCTGCAGCTCACCGCTCCCCACGAGGATGGGTCAAATGCGGAGATGTGTGCTTACTAATGGGTCTTTAACTTTAACTGCTGATGAACATCTTAGGCAGGATAAAGATGCTGGTTTTTGACCCAATCCCTTCTGATAGTCTTAAGAACACGCCCAATAACCATAAAGACTCTGAAGATAATTTTGTCTGATACTCCTGCCATGTGTGGTGTGTTAGGAGCACTCCGGTCTGCTCGGAAGTTCGTTGGTGCTGTTCAGGTCATAAATCTCAGATGTTCAACATGCTGTATTCCCTTGCTCCATGCTCCAGTCATGTTTGACCTGAAGAGATTTAGCAAGATTTCCCATCTCATAAGAGAATGTTTGTGAATGAAATCTGTTTGAGTAGTGTGTGCTGCGCTGCTGCATACCACACACTGGAGGACTGTGGCATTTATCACCATGAGTGGCTCTCTCATGTTGTGAAAATCATCCAGTCATTTTTAAACCCTGCTGTGTAAACTGGACCTTAGTTTAGCAGAACGTTGTCAGATATAACAGCCGTTGAAGGAGTTTAAATTCCCTGCTGCCCTTCAGGCCCCAAACTAAAACGCAGATCACGTTATGCTGAGAAATGATGGAGTTAAAGCCTCATGAACCATCCATCCATCCATTTTTGTCCACTAATCCGGGGTCAGTTCATGAGGGCAGTAGCCTAAGCAGAGAGGCCCAGACATCCATCTCCTCAGCCAGTTTGGCCAGCACTTCTGGGGGGGGGTCCTAAGGCGTTCCCTGGCCAGCCAAGAAACATAGTCCATCCAGGGTGTCCTGGTTCTTCCTTTAGGTCTTTTCCCAGTTTGACGTGCCTGGAAAACCTCACCAGGGAGGCATCCAGGAAGCATCCTAACCAGATGCCCGAGCCACCTCAACTGGCTCCTCTTGATGTGGGGAAGCAGCAGCTCTACTCCGAGTCCCTCCCGGATGTCCAAGCTCCTCACCCTATCGCTACAGCTGAGCCCAACCACCCTCTGGCCGCTTGTATCTGCTATCTTGTTTTGTGGGTCATTACCCAAAGCTCGTGAGCATAGGTGGGATATTGGGATATAGACAGAGCTAGACAGCTCTCTCTTCACCACGACAAATCGGTTCAGCGTCCGCATCGCTGCAAGCACGGTCCCAATCCGCCAATCGATCTCCCGCTCCCTTCTTCCCTCATTTGTGAACAAGAACCCAAGACACTTGAACTCCTCAGGAGGCAGGACCTCTCTCCCTACCTGGAGTTGTCAAGCTGAAGTTGCAGAACAAAAATAAAATTCACTAATTATTTTTTTATTGTTAAAAATCTGCTGCCTGATGTATTTTTTTATCTTATTTTATTGTGATCTTTATTCCAGTCGTCTCATTTATCTGAGTTTTAAAGCTCATGAATAAAAATTTACTGTTCTAATGTCATAGCGTTATCCAGCTCCCCCCTCTAACTTCTAAATAGTGTCTGTGTTGTTGAGTTGGGGTTCTGAGCTGCCTCCATTGTTTTAAGCTACTTTGTGCTTGGTGTATAATTACAATCATTTGTGTTGAGTGTCAACATTAAGGCTGCATCGTGTCGGCTGCTAATAACATGCTTTGGTCAGGCTGAGCGTCACCGCTGCTGCCGTGAAGGAGCGAACAACCTCCCACGCAGATGTTTGTACGTGTGTTCGGTGTGTGTGTGTGTGTGTGTGTGTGTGTGTGTGTGTGTGTGTGTGTGTGTGTGTGTGTGTGTGTGTGTGAGAGAAAGTTTAAAGTTATTGTTTAAAACTGCTTGGCATTACATAATCAAAGGGAACATAGTGGCACACACACACACACACACACACACACACACACACACACACACACACACACATGGTTGAATCAGTGTCAGAGTCTCAATTGCTGTCAGTACGCTCAGGTTTCAGTTGGACTTTAAAAGTTGGTTAATGAGCAGCGACTTCCAGGGATTGTTTTAAAGGGACTTAACGGACTTTTGAATTTTTATGCTTGCAATTGCCCCCTCAGGCCAAAAGCATGACGGCGGCTTCAATAGAAGGCTCGTGCACGAGGCGCGCATGCTGTACGTGCACACTCCTTAACGAAAATAACTGCTGAGACAGTCCCTTGTGTGTGTGTGTGTGTGTGTGTGTGTGTGTGTGTGTGTGTGTGTGTGTGTGTGTGTGTGTGTGTGTGTGTGTGTGTGTGTGTGTGTGTGTGTGTGTGTGTGTGTGTGGCCCGGAGGACAGAGGACAGGAGAACATGCAGCTAATTAATTAAATAATTTGGTTCTGTAGCTTTCTCTTCAGCACAGCCGACAAAGGTTTATGATGGGTCAGTCCTCCTGCATGCTCAGATCATTCCCCTCCCTTGCTTGGAAAATTGTTCCAAAATGAAAGTTGAACCCACATCTTTTTTATCTGTGAATTCAATGCCGTTCGGCGAGTCTCAAATAAAAATTTGGGCATCTTACTGTAAAAAAATATACCATTAATGTAAAAAATAAACTCTAAATAAACTATGTTCACATTGAGAATTTAACCCAAGTCTTCTGCATGGGAGTCCGACGTCTAACAAGGTGAGCTAAAGCACCAGTGATGTCCTTTGTATCTGTAACATTTATATCCTTGATGACAGCTGAAACAACGTTCAAAGAACGGTTCGGAGCGAAAATGGCTATTTTGTTGCTAATTTGCAGGAAATATCTAGAAGAAAGTTCTACAGAAAGTAGCTAAGGGTCCTCAGAAATGTAGCTAGCTTTGTCACTAGGCGTTAGGAACAGCGACAAAGCGGCACTGCCTCTCTCTCTGCTGCTAAAGCTACGGATAGCAAATGCTACGGGCTATGCCTGAGCGTGAACGCGCATGAAGCAGCCTGCTCGACCCGAGCATCTCTCTTTTTCTGTGATTTTACAGAAAAACAGGCAATCACAGTAAAAATGCCAGGGCTCATTCTACAGGACCAGGGCATTGCAGGAGAATGTATGAAGAAGACATTTATTATTTCTATGCATGTTTTGACCGTCAAACTTCCATAAAGCCGCTTTAATTATCTCTGTAAGAATGCAGCTTTGTTCATCTGTCTGCCTCTTGTTTTTTAATTGGAGCGTGCATAAGTACATGTGTAATTCTCCTCCCCTTTCACAACATTCCTAGCCTCATTAAAATTGTGTCCCGCGTTGCGAAACAATTTTCTTTTTCAGCGATCAAGTGGTTACTTGTGTGTGAGAGGAAGCAGGTGTGTGAGATTGTGGATTACCTAAAGGCGGTGAGAGATTAATTGTTTTTGCATACTCGTCTCCATCTTGTTCGTTCTGATTCAGCCGCTTGTTTTTGTATTTATTATTACCAAAAAGCTCATTTAGGACTTGTGATTGGAAAAGCACACAAGTGTGATCGTGAATAACAAAAGAATCGTACATTCTGAGGTAACTTGTGTGTGTGTGTGTGTGTGTGTGTGTGTGTGTGTGTGTGTGTGTGTGTGTGTGTATACCCTGAGGGTTGTTTCTCATTATGTGAGCTAAGTTAAGTGTGTTGCATTTCTGATGTTCATATCTGAGAGCTTTAGGCTTTACATAACCTCTTCAGAGTACATCTGGAGAGTTTCAGCCTTAAATCTCAACCCATCCTGCATGGGATTAGGTTTACGACAGATTTTTCAGATTTTTAAAAAAAGTTGCACTACTGAATTTTGTCATTTTACTTCAATAAATGTTCTGTTTTGTTTATTCCAGTCGGACAGCCCACCTTTAAGT